GCAAGTGGGTCGATATGACACACGGGGGTGGGGGCAGCCGCCGCTCAACCTACATCCTCGTGGGCGGCCTTGTACGCAAGAGGTTCTGAACAGGGCCAGTTGTAAGAAAGAAGATAAAAAAATGAATTTTTGTTTTCCTTGTTTTCTTCTGTTTTTTTCGCCTTTGCGCTCTGATATTCATGTGACGATATATATATTATTTACATATATTTATATATGGGAGTTGCTAATTCCCAATAATTATTGTACCATCTGTGTATTATTGGGGGTTGCTAATTCCCAATCATTACTTGATTGATATTGATTCTCATGTCACAGATTGGGAATAACATGGAAAGGGAGGCTGGCACATGACACATGCCGATGAGCACGACGACGACCAATATGGATGTGCCACGTCAGAAGTAAGTGTGAGTGATTTGATTTGATGAATGATGTAAAATCGACAAATTTAAAATAGTAAATGTTATTCAAGTTATTGCTTTTTCTAATTCTTTTTTTCTTTTCTTCTTCTTGTGCCTTTTGTTTCTCCTGTTCCGTTTTTTTGTGTGTGTTTTGTCAACTTTTTTTTTTTTTTTTGGTTTTTTGTTGTTTTTTAAGACTTCTTTTTTTTCTTTTTTTTAATTAAATTTAATTAATTTATTAATTTATTAGTATATTACATTTTTTTTAAGGAAGAAAAGGACCGTATGGTCCCAGGTTCTTTCCATTCAGGAGAGCAGCACGCTGGTCTCTGTCAGTAACTGAGTATTCCTTTTTCTGTTTTTTTAAAGAAAATTTGGACGATATTCTCGATTTATGTGTGTCATCCCTGCGCAGGGGCCATTTGCTAATCTTCTTCTTTCTCTGTATCGTTCCAATCCTTTTAACGGATGTCCCGAAGGACAGTAACTGCTTATTCCCTTTTTTTTTTTTTTTTTTTTTTTTTTGGTCTCCTGCGGCATGGGTCCACTAACCACAAGATAAATTGAGAGAAGAATATAACTTAGTTAAAAAAAAAAAAAAAGATAAGATAGAATATAGATAACCTCCTGACTGCATGACCGTCTTGGCCCGTAGATGGCCAGAGATCGCATGGTGACGTTTTTCTTGCCTTTTGGATCCTTACCCGAGATTGCCTTCTTAGTGCAATCCTGACTCTTTTTCTCTTCTTCTTCTTCCTTTTTTTTTTTTTTTTTTTTTTTTTTTTT